TTCTCTGGAACCATTATTGGTGACTATTCGGAAAAGTATATATGTAATAGGAAACGTAGAACATAAAGTCGCGGCCTATGCAGATGTTATTTTATGTTGTGAACCCCAGAGTAACATTACCCAACTTACTGAAATTTTTAAATATTATGGTGAACTATCAAATTTAAAAATTAATCCTTCAAAATCAGAGATATTAAACATTACAGTTTCAAAGATAGAGAAACAGATTTTACAGAAAGCCTTCCCCTTTATGTGGAAAGAGAGAATTAAACTACTTAGGAGTAAAGCTTACCCCTTCTTTGCAAAATCTATCAAATAAATTATATCCCACTAATAAATTAATTAAAGGATGAACTGAGGAAGATATCTATATGGTCACTCTCCTAGATGGGTCATATAAATTTAATAAAGACAGTTTATAGTTCCAAAGATCCTGTATAAGTTCCATATGCTTCCAATACGCTTACCGGGGTCCTTTTTTTAGGATCATAAAAATGATAAGTAAATATATATGGGCAAATAAAAAAACAAGGGTTAGCTATGAAGTATTATGTAGGGATGAAGTTAATGGAGGTTTAGGTGTGCTGGATTTTAGGAGGTACTATCGTTCGGTGTTGATTTCACAAATAGTGGAGTGGGTTCACAATACACAAGGAAAAATATGGGTAAAAATGGAAAATACACTAAGTGGTTCACAATTAGATTAGATAATTTGGCTTCCACAACCGTACCAATTTTTTTTCTGAAAATATTAGCACTTTAACACGGAATGTTATAAGAGAGTGAGGTAGAATTCATAAGCAGATGGGATGGGAGTTTAATTCATTATTAATACTTTTGGAGTGAACAGAGAATATTGCAGGTAAATGGATAAAAACGCACGGTTGAAAGATGTCACTGATAAGGGGGGGAATTATGTTCTTTTACAGATTTAAAAACCAAGGATTTATTTCTTAGGTTGGATGAGTGGCGGTATCATCAAGGGAGACATTTTGTAGTAGCTCTCCCACAACCACTTAGGGAGGTGGAGAATATGTATCCATTAGAACGTTTTCTTAGTCAAGAAAAAATATGAAACATATAACTTCCTGTATTTACAAGATTTTTACTAATATATCAGGATTCGTTTCTCCACCATTCCTGGGGAAGTGGGAAAAAGACTTTGGAATTAAACTGGAGTAGCAAGATAAAAAGAAAATATTCAAATTGACGCATGGTGCGGTAAATATGATTATAGTAGAAATTATCTACAAATGCTTAGTGAGATGGTATTGTACACCCAGTCTGATACACAAGCAACAACCACAGAGTTCACCTTTATGTTGGAGGAGATGTGGGAAGAAACTATGGCTTTAAAATTCAAGAGTTCTGGCAAGGAATAACACAACAAATTCACAACAAATTCAGGTGATAGGGAATCATAATACCAAGCAAACCCTGGGCCTGTGTATTTCATAATATGGATTTTACAGTGAAGTATAAGAAAATGATAATATTTCACCTATTAAATGCAGCCAAAGGATTGATTCCTAGGTTTTGGCAGAAAAGAGAAATTCCAAAAATAAAAGACTGGATGAATAGAGTGGATTACATATACAGGATGGAGGAACTATACCATATGAGGATAAAATTAAAAAATTTAGAACAACCTGGGAAAAATGGATAAATTATAAAAGAAAAATAAACTTTAATCAGAATTGATAGGAAAATGAGGGGGTAAAAGTGAAGGTTAATTTTAGTTTTATTGCATATCTCTGAGAAGTGGGGTAAGAGGTGGGGGACGGACGATAGAAATTATGGGGGAGGACCAGAGGGGGTGGTGATGGGTGGAAGGGAAGGTGGAAGGGAAAGGGTTTTGGTAAAAAGTTGTGCTATTGAAGATGTATGACTGTAGCAGTGGAAATAATTGTGTTTTATAAAATTAATAAAAAAATAATAAAAAAAGAATACAGTAACTGGCATTGCAGATTTCTGTGGGCTGTAGAAAAAAAATCTTATTGTATATGACCAGCTTAAAGTCCACTTCTCAACCAGTTCCCTCCTCCAGCATTCCTCCACCGCTCTTTCTTCTGTGGCTGACACTGCAAAATACCTGGTTATGGTAGAATATGTGGCCTCCTTCCATGGTGCAGTGAATTGCTTGACCCAAGCCCTGTCACACAAATGAGTCATTCCACATTCCCTCCTTGATTAAAGAGTGATGGAGCGATGGATAGATGGGTATGAAGTGGTTGAGGATGGACTTTACAGAGACACTGCATGACACAAAACAAGAGGTTCCATTTACAGTCAGCAGTGCAAAAAGCCTCCTAACCCTGGCTTTAAGAGATCACATAAAACACAGATTAAAGGATAAATTCACCATTTCATAAAAAAATGGAAAGGTGAACTAATTCGCAACACTTGCTCCATTTCCTTGGTTTCTGCTGCTGCTGTAAATGTCTTCTCCCACCGCCCCTACACCAGCCTACAGTACATCCAAAAAGTATTCACAGCACTTAATTTGTGCCACATTTTTTTATGTTACAGCCTTATTTCAAAGTGGATTAAATAAATGTTTTCCTCAACATTCTACAAACAATACCCCATAATGACAACGTGAAAAGTTTGTTTTGAAATCTGCAATTCAAAATAAAAAAATGAAAAAAACCCACATGTACATAAGTATTCACAGCCTTTGCTCAATACTTTGTTGAACCACCTTTAGCACCAATTACAGCCGCAAGTCGTTTTGAGTATGATGCTACAAGCTTGGCACACCTATTTATGGTCTATTTCTCCCATTCTTCTTTGCAGTACCTCTCAAGCTCCATCAGGCTGGATGGGGAGCATCGGTGCACAGCCATTTTCAGAACTCTCCAGAGATGTTCAATCTGGTTCAAGTATGGGCTCTGGCTGGGCCACTTCAGGACATTCACAGAGTTGGCCCATAGCCACTCCTTTGTTATGTGGGCTGTGTGCTTACGGTCGTTGTACTGTTGAAAGATGAACCGTTGTCCCAGTCTAAGGTCTAGAGCGCTCTGCCACCACCATGCTTTACTGTAGGGATGGTATTGGCCAGGTGGTGAGCGGTGCCTGGTTTTCTCCAGACACGGTGCTTGACATGCAGGCCAAAGAGTTCAGTCTTTGTTTCATCAGACCAGAGAGTTTTGTTTCTCATGGTCTAAGAGTCCCTCTGGTGCTTTTGGCAAACTCCAGGCAGGCTGCCATTTGCTTTTTACTGAGAAGTGGCTTCCGTCTGGCCACTCTACTATAAAGGCCTGATTGGTGGAGTGCTGCAGAGATGGTTGTTCTTCTGGAAGGTTCTCCTGGAGCTCTTTTGGAGTGCTTGGTTACCTCCCTGGCTAAGGCCCTTCTCCTTCGAACGCTTATGTTGGCCGGGCGGCCCGCTCTAGTAGGATTCTTGGTAGTTCCAAACTTCTTCCATTTATGGATGATGGAGGCCACTGTACTCATTGTGACCTTCAATGCACAGAAATGTTTCTGTACCACTCCCCAGATCTGTGCCTTGATATAATCCTGTCTCGGAGGTCTACGGACAATTCTTTGGGCTTCATGGCTTGGTTTGTACTCTGACATGCACTGTTAACTGTGGGACCTTTATATAGACAGGTTTATGCCTTTCTTAATCATGTCCAATCAACTGAATTTCCCACAGGTGGACTCCAATCAAGTTGTGGAATCTCAAGGATGATCAGGAACAGGATGCACCAGAGCTCAATTTTCAGCGTCATCGCAAAGGCTGTGAATACTTATGTACATGTGTGTGTTTTGTTTTTTTTTTTTAATAAATTGCAAAGATTTCAAAACGAGCTTCTTTCACGTTGTTATGGGGTATTGTTTGTAGAATGTTGAGGAAAAAATTTTATTTAATCCATTTTGGAATAAGGCTGTAACATAACAAAATGTGGCAAAAGTTAGGTGCTGTGAATACTTTCTGGATGCACTGTATGTAACAGGCCAGACATGTGAAACACTTCACTACATACATATCCCCAGAGACTGTTTAGCATCATCATGCTCACAACTTCATCCTAGAGGAAAGAAAAGATTGCTAGCCTTTGTGGTAGCATGGGTGGTGCTAGATGGCATTTTCATCAGTTAGGTGGTGCAGTGGGAACCCAAAGCAGTGGGTAGGGTGTTGTGAGTTAGTTGACCTTTTCATTTTTTTTAATGAAAATGTAAACTTTAAAGCTGACCTGTAAAGGGAATACATCACCCTATACTTCCCAGTTTTAAAGGAACCTTTACAGATAAATTATGTCAGCTGCTACTGCTGACTTCTCTTTCTGAAAATGCTAGTTCTCTGGTTATCATGTTGATTCACTGACTTTGAGTCACTAACCTGGTCAAGTATGTGATTGAGACTTCACTCTGACTTTCTTGATTAACATAATTTGCTCCAGTGTGTCAGTACTGCAGACAGAGTTAGCCAGGCAACTAGCATTTCCAGATGGATGGCAGCAGTGGTATCCTGTGCATTCCTTTTTATTATTAAGTTACTTCAAAAAAGCTTTGTAATAATAAATTTTACTGTAGATACTACTTCCAGGCTACTAAAGTTAATGCATTTGTTGCATAGCTTTTCTGCTGAAAGTACCTATGGAACTACTATAGTTCTTGCAGAGTGGAGGAGTCATTGGGTCTGCCTGAACTCGTATCTATCCCTTCAGCTGAGATCATGTATTACTCTAAATGGGCAGGATGGTCATGATGGGAGGTGTGATTATTTTCACCATAGGGGAAGTAGAATGTATTTTGGTGAACACACCTACTTTAAATGTTTGTAGTATATATGATGTGATTCACATTGATACACACTTGTTCTTTGTATGATTTTGTTATTGAATGAAATGGGATATCTCCCTCTAGGTGCTGATCTGGCAATTGCTACATTTCATTGCCATTCCTGCTCTTCCCACCTACATAATGTATCCATTTTTGTAAAGCAGATACAGCCATTGTGAAATTACGTAGCTGAACTGTTCTCTATTTTGCAGAGTATTCTGGAGCAAGAAATCTTCCACAAGTCCCTTCTAGCATGCTGCCTCGAAATTACCATCTTTTCCTACAAGCCTCCAGGCAACTTCCCTCAAATCATGGTCATGTTTGACTTGGCACCCTACCATTTCTACAAGGTATGTATGACGAGTTATTGCAGACATAACATCTGTTATATACCAGACCTCCAGAATAATTCCGTTCTTTTATATGTATTTGACAGTAACATTTACATCTTTGTCATATAAATTTTTCGTCAAATAAACCTGTCATGACAGAAATATGGCAGACAGCTATTGCTGCCCCTTGTTTTAAAAATGCTAGTTGCCGGACATTTATGCTGATTTGCTAGGTTTACATCACCAATCTGAAACTAGTGTGGAGATCAGGAAAGTTGGAGAAAAGTCCTTGTTTAAAGGTCACAGGCTGAAAATATTGAAGCAAAACTGTCAGCATGAAAACAAGGAAAGCAACAGCATTGGCAGCCTCCATGTTTCTGTCATAATGGCTATTTGTAATAAAGGGTATTTCAACATAATACTACAAACTAATGTTAGGAATTCCCCCCTTTCCCTATAGTCCAATATTTATTGGAATTGGTTGAGTGTAAACACAGCAATGCCTGCTTTTTTCTGGTCAGCTGTTCGAAGATCAGAGACTGTGGTCCCTCAGTGTACTCCATGTCAGGAATTGAAGTTATAGTATAACTGAAGACACTTTTTTAAAGTTTTGGATTGTGTGTAGAGGGATTAGATCCCCTGTCAGGTTTTTATTGTTCTCTGTGTCCCTATTAAGGAGATTTCACCCTCTCTATTTGTCTTTTTTTACCATTATCACAAAGTGTGAAAGTGAAAAAAAATCCCAAACTTTGAGTTTTCACCAGAACTGTAATAGAGGGAAATCTTTCAATGGGGCAACTAGCTTTGATGACCTCATTGACAATCAAGGTTTCCCTCTTTTTGGAGAGATTTCCTTTCACATCCTAGTTTAGCTATGGGATATGAAGTGAAGGGAAATCTTCTCAGTGGAAACCAGATTACTAAAAAAAGATAAAAACTGACAGGATTTATAACCTTTAATTCCTCTGTCCAAATTTTTGCTGTTTCACTTTTTTTTTTTTTTGCTGGTCCAACACCCCACATTCCCCTTCCTGGCCAACATTCTTGTCCTTCCCCATCACTTATCCCAGGAGGCTTCAGGAGTAAGGACTTGAAGCTGGCTGGTGAGTTTGTCATCGTTGACCACCTGCCTGAACCTGGAAAAAGCAGCTTTCTCACCATTACCTATAAGGACCGAGGCTGTTATACCTGAGCAGTGGATCACAGCAGGACAACACTGGGCAGGTAAGTATGTAAGTCAACAACAATGCTCTATAACAGGCAAGAGGGGGAAAAATTGTGGTGATTAAAAGAGTTTTGCGTAGAAAAATGTATACTGAAGCAGTGTTATATATTTGCTACCAAAGGGTGTCACTGTTCCTTCATCTAATGTTTGGCTTAGTTGTTGCACTGATTCTATCAGTCAATGCAATAGTATTTTTAGTGTTCCGAATTGATTAAAGTCCAACTTTTTGGTTTTGGATAGGAAGAGTTAGAATCTCAATTAAAGTGATACTGAAGGCATTTATTTTTAATTAAAAAAAGAGGTTATGCTTACCTGCTCTGTGTAACGATATTGTACAAAAAGGTCGCTTTTCTCTCCTCTTCTGGCAGTCCACACCGGTGATGTCCGCTCTTCCCTCCTTCAAGTGCCTCCTGTAGCAAGCAGGGTGCTAAGGTGGCACCTATGTATGTGCTCCTGTTGGATCCCAAGCCGGGCTGTCTGCATCCTTAGAAAGGACATTATAGGTTCCACTGATGTCTGTATACCCGTTGAAAATGATTTTACATTACTTTCTGTCCTGGTGATATGCAGTCACCATGAGAGAACACTAAGAGAGATTTTCCTAATGGGGACATAGCAGAAAAAAACACCTTTACCACTCTTTTAAGAAAGAATAGTGAATTGAGTTGAATTTTCATTGATTATTATATTGCTTATTATATTGCTTTGTGTTTGTGAAATGTTCTACTGTTTAATATTAGTGAATATTTTAGAAGTATAGTGTATTTCCAGGTGATTGAACTTCTTATTAAGGCAGAAGAAGGCTTATGTCGGGAAGTGGTAAAACACCTTAACCAGATAGAGGAACAGATTCTGGAGAGTATGGCGTGGGCAGAAGATTCACCATTATGGGACAAAATTAAAGATAACGCAGGCAAAGTTCCATTGTGTGAAGAGGTATAGCAACTACTTTTCTGCAGTTTTTTCTTTAACATGGAATCATGAAGCATGACGCTAGTAGTATTTTTGTCTATAATCTGCAGACATTTACTCTGATTACTAACTTTACTATTCAATAGTAATACTAATTTAGGTATTCCTTATCTGTACCAGTAGGTGGGGAGGCTGTGGAAACTAGGCAGATGATGCATGAAATAGCAATGTGTGATGTATGCCATCTCAACAACAATCAGCATAGATCACCAGTTAAAGCACCTTTTTAAGTCACGACAAGAAATAAGTCACATACAGGGCAAACATAAAAAAAACATATAAGAAATAACATTAAGGGGTAGCTATTAATTACACCTTGGGTACAACTGTAATATAGATCTACTATATGTAATCTGTTATTAGGGCAGACAATCTTCCCATGGAGCCCAAGACTTGTGAAATTTATCAGACTGAAACTGTGTCTATGACATGTTTTTTCTCACGAGATTAGCTAACCCAAAACTAAATTTCAAGATAATACCAGTTATTGCAGAGATTATTCTAAATACTGCTCTCCAAAAACTGTGAAGATATACACAGGACCATAGTATGTGTCTCAAGGCACCAGCTTGGGTGCATCCCCTGCAACAGACGTTGTCAGATGCTGCTGTGAATTTGGCTACCGTATAGACAGTCCTATACCATCTGAGATTGGATTTTTTGAGACTTTCCCCAGTAGTTTATGCATTTAGAATATGTAGGTTTCCTAATTAATGTAAAAGGGAAGTCTGTTGTCCCCTACATTTTTCCTGCTGTAGACTTACCCTTGTGAGGCCTTTCCACACCTGGAATCACACCCTTAGAAAGTGAGTGATAGGGTTTTATGTTTTTGCACAGCTTTGTCTCATTTAACTGTATTATTATATTTTACAGGTTATGCAGCCACACCACTTTGAAAGGTCTGCTGGTAACAACACAGCCAGTTCCTCAGCTCCTCTTACTCCAAGAAGAGTCAATGAAATCCGTGCAGATGCATCTGGCCTAGGAAGGAGTAAGTTGTTTTACTTGTCCATGGAAGGACACCGGTGGCTCCACCAATTTTTTTTTTTTATGTAAACATGGCAGCAGTTTCTCACAATGTCTCCTAAATGATTGTAAAATATTATTAGGGCTCATGTACACTGCAGCTGATCAAATCACGTTTAGGAGCTGTTCAGCGTTTTTTTTTTCAGCAGCCCCTGAACTCACTATAAGGCTTTCCTATGTGTCCATGTACACATCTTCGTTTACAGTCGTTTACAGGCATTTGAGTTTACAGTCGGTTTTTTGAACTCAGAAAACCTGCGTTCAGCAGTCGATTTTATCAGCATTTCAAACGCAAAACGTTTGTAAATGTGGCAAATCGCGTTTATAAGTGTTTGCGTCTGAAATTTTTTTTTAACTCTTCCAGTTCCGATGCTGTTCAGAGCCTTTTTTTACCATGAAAAATGCATGCAAAGCGTTTTCAAGGTACTCAGATGGACTGAAAGTTCAAACCTAATCTTAGAAACCTTTTTACCGAAAAAATAGTTGATGCTTGAACCAGACTTCCAATAAAAAGTAAGTGAATGCACACATTTGGGACAAACATAAATCTATACCGGGACACAAAGGGTAAAAACAAGGGACAGACTCTATGGACCACTTGGATTTCTTTGCTATCATTCTTCTATGTTTGTATGTCACACATTGAAAAATTAATAATTACCAATTTTAATTAACAATAACTGTCAAAATTACTGAGAAGGTAGTTTGAGCACTCCGGTTTTATAAAATGCCCATCATTCTCTACTTTGAACTCATTTAGAGCAACAGTACTATAAAACTGGATTCTTCAAAATTGTATTTCCAAAGAATCTTCAATTTACTCATGGCCTTAAGGCCTGGAAGTGAAAAAGAGGTGCGGTGGAATTGAAGCTGTTCTGTGCCAGTTAATACTTTTTCAAAAGTGAAGTGGGTCTCTGCTTTCATATACCATAAGGACAGACAAAAATCACAGGTGTGGCATATGAAAGTTACTATAAAATATGCAACAATGTAACTGCTATCAAATAATGTATACAAAGATGGTTTTGAGTAGCAGCCAACGTATACCTATTAGAAGGGAGCAGAAGCCCTAGTAAACTCTTTAGTGATGCTCAGTAGAAAAAGTATTATATTTTCTATTTGGATATGCAGCTAGTCATGGAAAAGTGCTGAATAGCGTGCAACATTGTAAACTCCTGTGCACCTCCCCACTTTCACCTCTAGTCCCTTAAAGTGTGACTGCACATTTCGGGTTTTTTTGTATTTCTTTTTCAACAAATTTTTATTGATTTCTGCAAGGTTCCAACAACAACTGGAAGCTTAGCTATCCAGAACAAAAGAAAAGTACTAGCCTAAAAAGGCATAAGTGTGTGTGTTGAGTCTCATTCGGTCAGTGGTACCTAGTCAAAATAGTATCATGTACTATCAATAAACACAACAAAATTTAGAGTAAGCAAAGACACTCAACCCCAGTCCCGAACCAGTCACATCAAAATAGGGAAATTAGGCAGTGGAGGCGTCCCCCAACCATTTAGCCCATATTCTCTAAAACTGTCGAGGGCAACCTCTATTTGCATAGGTTGTTTTGTAGAGTGGCAATTGGGAGTTCATCAGATGTTTCCAGTATCCATGTGTAGGTGCTGTGGGTTTCTTCCAATGAAGTGTATTCGCCTTCCTGCCATAAAAAAGCAGTAGTCCCAATAGTGTTATCTGCATTGTGGGCACAAGGCCAAGAAGACAGATCCTTGGGGACCTGCACAAGTGTGTTGATGATGCCGGCCACAGATTCCCAAAACAACTGAATCACTGGGCGTGTCCAGAAAATATGGGAAAAATCACTGTCAGCCCAATCATAGTGCCAGCACATTGCAGGAGTATTAGGATCCAAACGGTGTACCCTGTATACTGAAGTAGGCCCTCTGCAGGATTTTCAATTATATGAGCCGGTCCCTAAGTGAGAGTAGTTGTTTGAAAGGCGTAGCCTACATGTCTGTCCAGTCCTCATCATCCATATCCGGGATATCCGATAGCCACTTTTGTCTAAGGCTAGATAAGTCAGGTAGCACCACTGTTACAAGATGTGAATAAATCATGGAAGTAGGTTTGTAAGGGGATCAGAGCAAAGGTCTTCCAGGTCTGAACATTTCAGCTGAATATATCTATGGGTAAATTGGCTGAAGGCATTTGCAAGCTGCATATGTCTAAACATGTAATGTAGAGGGACATTATAGGCCAGTGGTGGTGAACCTATTGCAAACGTGCCACAGCGGCCACACAGAGCCCTCTCTGTCAGCACACAAGCCAAGTCACTCCAGCATCGCCCCAGCAGCCAAGCATCAGATAACAGTGCACATAGGGGCCGTGCACATGCTCATAAAGGTGTAGCGACACCAGGTGATGATGTCACAAGCTGCGACTCGTCCTAGCTTTCACATGGCCAGTAAGTGCGCTGCCATAGATACAGTGGGGCAAAAAAGTATTTAGTCAACCACCATCATAGGTAGACCTCAACTATGAGAGACAAAATGAGAAAAAAAATCCAGACAATCACATTGGCTGATTTGGAAAGAATTTATTTGAAAATTATGGTGGAAAATAAGTATTTGGTCACCTACAAACAAGCAAGATTTCTGGCTCTCACAGACCTGTACCTTCTTCTTTAAGAGGCTCCTCTGTCCTGCACTCATTACCTGTATCAATGGCACCTGTTTGAACTTGTTATCAGTATAAAAGACAGCTGTCCACAACCTCAAACAGTCACACTTCAAACTCCACTATGGTGAAGACTAAAGAGCTGTAGGACACCAGAAACAAAATTGTAGACCTGCACCAGGCTGGGAAGACTGAATCTGCAATAGGCAAGCAGCTTGGTGTGAACAAATCAACTGTGGGAGCAATAATTAGAAAATGGAAGACATACAAGACCACTGATAATCTCCCTCGATCTGGGGCTCCACGCAAGATCTCACCTTGTGGGGTCAAAATGATCACAAGAACGGTGAGCAAAAATCCCAGGACCACACGGGGGGACCTAGTGAATAACCTGCAGAGAGCTGGGACCAACGTAACAAAGGCTACCATCAGTAACACACTACGCTGCCAGGGACTCAGATCCTGCAGTGCCAGGCGTGTCCCCCTGTTCCCTGCTTAAGCCAGTACATGTCCGGGCCCGTCTGAAGTTTGCTAGAGAGCATTTGGATGATCCAGAAGAGGATTGGGAGAATGTCATATGGTAAGATGAAACCAAAATAGAACTGTTTGGTAGAAACACAACTCGTCGTGTTTGGAGGAGAGAGAATGCTGAGTTGCATCCAAAGAACACCATACCTACTGTGAAGCATGGGGGTGGCAACATCATGCTTTGGGGCTGTTTCTCCGCAAAGGGACCAGGACGACTGATCCATGTACAGGACAGAATGAATGGGGCCATGTATCGTGAGATTTTGAGTGCAAACCTCCTTCCATCAACAAGGGCATTGAAGATGAAACGAGGCTGGGTCTTCCAACATGACAATGATCCCAAACATACCACCCAGGCAACGAAGGAGTGGCTTCGTAAGAAGCATTTCAAGGTCCTGGAGTGGCCTAGCCAGTCTCCAGATCTCAACCCCATAGAAAACCTTTGGAGGGAGTTGAAAGTCCGTGTTGCCCAGCGACAGCCCCCAAAACATCACTGCTCTAGAGGAGATCTGCATGGAGGAATGGGCCAACATACCAGCAACAGTGTGTGCCAACCTTGTGAAGACTTACAGGAAACGTTTGACCTCTGTCATGGCCAACAAAGGATATATAACAAAGTATTGAGATGAACTTTTGATATTGACCAAATACTTATTTTGAACCATAATTTGCAAATAAATTCTTTCCAAATCAGCCAATGTGATTGTCTGGATTTTTTTTTCTCATTTTGTCTCTCATAGTTGAGGTCTACCTATGATGCCAATTACAGGTCTCTCTCATCTTTTTAAGTGGGAGAACTTGCACAATTGGTGGCTGACTAAATACTTTTTTGCCCCACTGTATATATATTGGACTGGCTGTGAGTTTCAATATATTCGTTTTTATTAACACAAGGTTTTAGCTTGCGCTGGTGGTCAGTGGAACTTTGCCCCCTTTTGCTGGTGGTCAGTGGAAGCTGTTATTGTGTTTTTCTTTTAAGACAAAAGATGTTAATTTATGAGTTTTTTTCTAAACTAAAACCTCAGTATTCAGGTTTAATTGCAGTGTTGGCACTTTACAATAAATAAGTGGGTTTTGGGTTGCAGTTTGAGCACTCAGACTCTAAAAGGTTCGCCAACACAGTTATAGGCCGAGCGCAAGGAGGTAAAGGACATCATTGTCCCATTGTCCACTATATGAGTGGCTAGACCTGTTGTGTTTTACCCATATTTGTGGATCAAGCAAAACATAAAAGTGATGTAAAGAGGGGTTATTCCAGAGGGGTGTGTGAGGGGATAATGTTGAAGTGTCATGCGTTTCTAATTGAAGCCCCAAATTCCAGGCCCTAATTGTTGTTACCATAGAGGGGGTGAGAGGGTACGGTGTCTTAAGGCCATGAAAAAGTATGCATAGCAGGGCCTCTAGGGAACCTAAAACCGTGGACTCCAGCATAGTACTAGCATTAGTGATGTCAGGTTGGAGCCACCAATGTGCTGTAACCAGTTGTGTGGCTAAAGAGTACTTATGGCAGTCTGGTAGAGCCAACCACCCCTGTAGAGATGGGCGCATCAAAGTAGTCAGCTTATAACATGGAGTTTGTGGGCTCCAAAGGAAGGAGGAAAATAACCAATTTAGTTGAACAAAAAAAGATTTGGGGATCCATTGAGGGGAGTGGCTAAAAGAATATGTAATTTTGGGGAGTAATTTCATTTTGCCCAAATTTATGGGGCCCAATAAAGACAACGGCAGGTTGCCCCACGCCTTCAGCTTAGCCTACATTTGTTGCATAACAGGCATTAGATTTAAGGAAACAATCAGCAGCAAGACGAGAACCACAACCCCTAGATAATGAAAGGTAGTGACCCAGTGTAGCTGGAGATCCCTTGGGGCCTGTGCCAGGGCACTGTCGTCAATAGGGAACAGTATCAATTTATGTCAGTTGACCCGAAGGCCAATGACAACAGAGAAGGTATTAAGGATTCGAAGGGCTCCATGTAGGGATGGACCCACATCATGCAAAAATAGTAACATGTTGTCGGCATACAGGGCCACCCATTCCTAAACCCACCCCACCCGTAGCCCCTGAACCTCGGGAGACACCCAAAGGGCCTCTGCGATAGGATCGACTGCCAAGGCGAAGAAGGTCAGGGAAAGAGGGCAACCCTGTCTAGTACCACAGGACAGCTGAAAAAGAGCTGAGAGACTACCTCCCCCCCCCAACCTAATGGAAACAGTAGGATGAGAATATCAAATATGTAACCAGCTAATGAAACGAGTAGGCAATCCCATTCTATATAACATTTCCCATAAATGCGGCCACTCCACCGTATCAAACGCCTTCTGAATATCTAATGGGGCTACCACACTGGTCCCAGTATGGAGATGCTGTGCATGTATGTTTGTGAAGAGTCTGAGAATATTAATGTCTGTGGATCTGTGGGGCATAAAGTCTGTCTGATCTGAGTCTATTAGGGAGCTAGTAACCCTGCTTAGCCTGGTATTTAACAGTTTAGTTAGTATTTTAAGATCACAATTTAAGAGAGCAATGGGCCTATAAGAAGCGCACAATGTGGGGATCCTTCGGACTGTTATGAATCATTGTGATATGCGCCAAATGCATAGAGGGAGGGAGAGACTTGGCCTCGAGGCATTGAGAATACAAAGATGCCAGCCATGGGGCTGTGTGGTCACTATGAGCCTTCTAAAAATCCTTGGGGATATTGTCAGGACCCAGAGCCTTTCCAGAAGGGAAGAACATAACAGCACACACCTCGTTAACGATAAAGGGGCGCACCAGGTTCTCTCTTTTCCTGATCCGACAACCAAGGGATGTAATAAATTCAGAAGATGTGAAATGTCGAAATCAGAGGGAAGTGAAGAAGCATATAGCTGTTAGTAATACTTACTAAACTCTTTTAAGATCTCCTCAGTAGAGGTTACCATGGTGCCCCCTGACGTGCATATTTCGGAGAGGGGATTAGGAGACCTGTCATTTTGTGTGAGCATAGCTAGAAACTTTCCATTCATATCCCCTTGTTTGAAGAAAACCTGCTTACTATCTTTCAAGTCTAGCCTGGTCGCCTCCGCCATATGAAGTTTGCAGGTCCTGTTTTGCAGAGCTGAGACCTCAGAGGCTTGCTCCTTGTACACAGCAGCTATGAGAGAGACATATTTTCCTTGAAGATATGCCTTAAATGCATCCCAAACCAGACCAGGGGGGCAATCCCTCATTAGTCTGCCAGTAAGTTTGAATGGCAGTAGGAACCTCATCTGTGATCTTCGGGTGTGTAATCATTCGGGGCCCAATCTCCACAAATAGGCATTACGTGTACTGCACATTTAGTTTAATTACACTTTAATTGACTAATCCCATAGCCTAATCCCCCATTGCCAGTCTTATACGCTCTTGTCCCTGATCCAGAGACATATGGGCTCTTTAGTCTGGTTGGCACTGCTTAGTTGCTTGTCAGAATCATTTCTACCAAGACTTCACATATGCTGCATACTCTCCTTCAGTCCTCTAGAGTGTTCCAGAGTATCAACCATATGTTTGGATTGTGCTTGCTTTTTACAAATGTCATCTTAAATAAGACTTCTTAGAGAGGAGGCTGCATGGAACCAGTTGCATGGACTAGGGAAGCCTGCTAGTGCCAGAAATAAGGTAATCCACCATATCTCTTCACCCCTACACTAAATGAGCATTTAATCCTTGCAGTGTGGAGGGGGGAACAGGTAATGGTACATGTGAGGGACAACGGAAATATCAATCAAAAATGACATCTGCAAATGTATAAAGCATGTCAGTGCGAGGGAAAAAAAAGAGCTTGAGTTAGCATATCCAGTGGTTTAGAAGAAGGCAGTGTAAAGAATGTCTAGTACAAAAATGAGCTGGGTACAAACTTACAACCCTGTCATGCTGTGAGTGAGAACTGTGTGATCCTGGAATTGCAGATAACTGTGTATAAGCTATTATTTTTATTGTGAACGGACCTGTGATAACACTTTATATATTTTACTTTTTATCGTCAGACCCCTCTTCTTCACCCACATTATGTGAACGATACAGCTCACCTGTTGCTGGCACAGCTCGAAGACAACTCTTTGTAGATTCAGAGAGCCCATCTGATGGAGGAAGCCCAGCACAAGCTTCTCCACACTCTTCTGGTGAAACAACCACCCCACCGGTTCCTGGGCAGACACTAGTAACAATGGCTACTGCTACAGTTACAGCAAACAACGGGCAGACGGTCACCATCCCTGTGCAAGGTGAGTTCACAGCTATGAATGTATACCAAACAAAGCGGTGATATAGGTGATTTTTCTTTATTTTTAAGACACAATATATGTAATATTTAACAGAATAGATCACAGGGCAAATGATCCAAAATAAATGATATAGCTATTTACATAGAGCTTACATAGATTACATAGTGTACAATTTACTTTGATGTGAAGGTTTTGTGTCTTCTTTTTTTTCTAAAGAAAATTGACAAAAATGTATAGGCTTTAACATCTACTGTCTTAGGCTCCATGCACATTTGTGCAACTTGTGTGACTTTGGACAGTAGAGTCGCATGACAAGTCACACCCCATGTTTTCTAATAACAACCGGTCAAATATGTGAGACTTAAAGTTGCAGTGACTTTAAAATGGTTCCTGTACTACTTTTGGTCCGGCTTTCATGTGACATGAGTACCATAAACTGCAATGTAAAACCTCAAAAGTCGCATGAAACTCGTAACTTAATGTTATCAATGCCACAGTTGTGCAACAATCAAAGTCAACAGCTAAAGTGGCTTCCAAGTGGCACCCATCCAAAGTTGCATCAAAGTCGCAATGGAAATCACACAACTTTGGAGTTGCACAAGTGTGAAGGAGCCTTACCTCTGCCTGCACGCAGTCTGTAAACGAAGCATCTTGCTGGAAGTACATTTATAAACCTTCCCCACTTGAGAGCCAATAGGCAATACATTGCATGGCTGCTGGTTCCCAACCCCGTCTGTTACTAACAGCTTAGGTCCCCACTGATGAATGGAAGAAGAGTGACTCTTGACCATTTGATCACTATGACATATGACATATAGGCAGACTAAAGACTTTATTGAAGATAAAGAGAAGCCTTTAGTCTGCAGATGAACACTGCCACTGTGAGGCTACAGTGAAATCAGTTTTAATTGTAACTCTAATTACACTCACCGGCCACTTTATTAGGTACACCTTGCTGGTGCTAAGAAAATATCCCCCACACCATTACACTGCCACCACAAGCCTGAACCGATGATACAAGGCAGGATGGATCCATGCTTTCATGTTGTTTACGCCAAATTCGGACCCTACCATCTGAATGTCACAGCAACCAGCCTGCCCATTCTCCTTTGACCTCTGACATCAATAAGACATTTTCATCCACACAACTGCCGCTCACTGGGTATTTTCTCTTTTTCGGACAGTTCTCTGTACCACCCCAGAGAAGGTTGTGCGTGAAAATCCTAGCAGATCAGCAGTTTTTGAAATGCTCAGACCAACCCGTTGGCACTAACAACCATGCCACATTCAAAGTCACTGAAATCCCCTTTCTTCCCCTTTCTGATGCTTAGTTTGAACTTCAGCAAGTCATCTTCAGCACAACTACATGCCTAAATGCATTGAGTTTCTGCCATGTGATTGGCTGATTAGCAATTTGTGTTACTGAGCAATTGAACAGCTGTACCTAATAAAGTGGCCGGTCAGTGTATATTATTGTAAAAATGTTAAACATTTAGTGCATTTTTAGTCTAATAAAAGCAACAGAGCAGAATTTGTTTTATGAAAACAGAGTTCCAAATAAAAAAGGCGTATATCTACTTAAAAAATATATGAAAACCTTTATAAAGTGGCATTAAGTTTAAATTTAAAAAAAAATAGCTGACAGAGTTTTCATGAGAGAAGAGACCCTATCGATCTCTTCTGTCAGAAGTGCCTCCCTCTGCCTGTTAGCTGTTATGTACATGTACAGTTCATCATATATATATTGGGCATGCACAGTTCATCATATATTTATGGTGAAGATGGCAGTGCCCAGGACCAGTAGGTGTGTTGACAATGTAGTGTTGGAGGGTACTGTTTGGCAGCCAAGTCTGTCACAATGTGCTAACATGCGGTGCATACTAACACATTATGGCATAAACCACCCAAGCGGCATTGAATACTGCTTTAAGGCAGGCAAATTAGTCATAGGGTTTATTTATACATTTTTTCATGTAAGAGGCAAACAACTTTCATCCAGCATTTGCACATTTTCTTCAAAGGAATCCAATACAAAATGTGAAAGTTATGTGAATCTTGTGTAAAAAGATTTAGAAATGGACCCCCATGGAGCTATTGTCCAAGTTAATCAAGGCGTGCTGACGCTTCCAAATTTGGCCAGGGCATTTAGGTACCAATGATGTTTGGTCATGAAAGGTTAAAACCGCCTAGGGAGTTGATTTTACTAGGGCTTGGTTCACACAAGTGCCATTTTGTGGGCCGTGGCATGGCAGCTGATACATTTGAATGGGCTGCTGTGCCTTGAAAAATGCAGGGAAAAAACCCCTGCATCTTTCCAGAAATCTCAGCCCACACTGGGAACTGAACTACAGTGCAGTTCCCAGTGTGGGCGAGATTACCAGTGTGGGCAGCATGTCATTAAGATTTATGGCACCCACCCGCAGGTCCTGCATTTTTCGTGTGGGTGATTGCAGCTGGGGGATGAAGTGCAGGTCCCGCAGTGGCTTTTACCCACAGTAGTGTGAACCGAGCCTAAAACTGGTGCACTCGGTATCTGGTGCAGCTGTGCATTGTAACTAGTTAGCTTCTAACTTCAGCTTGTTCAGGTAAACTTTGACAATAAAATCTGGAAGCTGATTGGTTGCTATGCAGAGTTGTACCAGATTTTTGCACTCTCCAGTTTTAGCAAATCTCCCCCATAATGATAAAATCTTTTTGGAAGTTAAAGAAATATTGGTAAAGCACAGTGCTAAGTTGTTCAATCAAAATGTTTTGAAACGACAACAGAGCAGCTGGCATTTCATTAAAAGAAAAAGAAAATAATTGTGATAGTTGTAAAACATTAAGGCTGCAGTTGTACAGCTAGAGAATATATTTAGTAATGTGATAATAAATCCTTACATAAGCCCACTGCAATGACTAAGCCTCAGGTAATACACGGGTGGGTGAGAAATGTTCAGTTTTCCTAGAATTGGGTCTTAAGCAATTAAACAATAAAAAAAATAGACCCACACCCTATCCCTGCAGGTTCTAAAGTCAGTCGGTGAGAGATGCATTCTTTAATGTATAGATTAGAATAATTTCACCAGAGTGCAGTAATACCTGGCCCTGGCAGGAACAGCTGCTGGCCATAGACATAGGTAAGGGGCTCAAATTCAATGTTTTAATGAACCGTAAAGTATAAAAAACATTTTTATTGTTTTGCTAATGTATTTTTGCAGCTTGTTCATCTGCATCTGCAAGGTTCACTTTAAGGAAGATCAGTCAGGAATGGGCTTGTTTGATTCCATTCTTAAAATGTTATGTCTTTTTCCTTTTTAGGTATTGCAAATGAAAATGGAGGGATCACATTTTTTCCAGTGCAAGTTAATGTGAGTGGACAAGCTCACAATGTGGCTAGTGCCATACAGCCAGTCACAGCCCAGACCCTTGTTGGCTCATTAACCACTCAGCAGATGCAAGTTGCAGGACAAGTAACTCTCCCACAAGTCTCTCCAGGACAGCAAAGTCTCTGCAGCAAAATGAAGAAGGCAGGATCTTTGTCTCTCTTTTGTAGAAGGGTGAGTACAGTAGAGTCATTGTCCAAATGTCTGGAGACTTGTAAGGTTTTGGACATTGTCAGTGACTTTGGTTTGCTCAGTCAGCTCAGACTGTTTCCAAAAGTGATTAGATAGAATCACTAGCAGTGGTGGGTGTTCCCCCTGCTGAACTGTATTTCCTTAGTATAGATATACAGTATATCTAGAGATTGGTGAACATCCCCCACATTTTTCGGCCAGAAAGCTTTTCACTGTAATGCTTGTTTAACTAGTCTGGGCAAAAGAGATAATGGTCCCTTATTGTTTATGGCATATCCACATATTACCAAAGAGCCTATATAGTCAAAATCACGAACATGGAGGGGATTAGAGTGTACAGTGTCTGCAGATTCCATTTTTTTTATTAGCTGTCACACAGTGTAAATTGACCATGAGGTCCAGGTTGTTGAATCATTTCACCTATGAGTTGTGTCTTATCAGAGGTTCAGTGGGTCCTAGGCCCTTTTGTATGCTGCAACTTTCATTTTGTTCTTTGCCTCTTTAGTAAAAAATGTATGTGCCCTTTTTTTTTTAAAAACAAGGTTTACCACTTGGCCAGTGTTCGTCTTCGTGATCTCTGCCACAAGTTGGAGATTTCTGATGATCTTCGTAAAAAAATCTGGACTTGCTTTGAATTCTCTCTCGTCCATCATTCCACTCTGATGACAGACCGACATCTGGACCAGCTTTTGATGTGTGCAATATATATGATGGCTAAGGTAAAATTTACAGATTATTTCTTGTTTTCTGGGGCTTAAGGCATATCACCTTTTAGCTCCTAGGACAAAGGAAAGAGAAAATGTGGAATAGACTCCCTCAAGAGCTGGTTCTGGCCAGTTCAGTAGATTGCTTTAAAAAAGACATGAATTATTTACTAAATGCACATAATATAACTGGATACTATCATTTATAGGTAAAGTTGATCCAGGAAATATCCAATTGCCTCTTGGGGGATCAGGAAGGAATTTTTCCCTCCTACTGGAGCTAACTGGGGCATAGTTTGCTGGGTTCCTCTGTATCAACTGTAGGTATAGGATTGTGTATATAGGATTGTATACATTATTTTCCTTTTTATTGGTTGAACTAGGTGGACACTTGTCTTTTTTTTTCAACCAGACTAACTATGTAACAAATAACCAGATTATTATGTGGATTATTTTTAAACATTTGGCAATGTAATTTATTACCTCTTTTTCTCCACTGGGACCAGGTGACAAGAGAAGATACGTCTTTCCATAACATTATGAGATTTTATCGTAGCCAGCCCCATGCACAGAGTCATGTAAGTCAAGCAGCTCCTCACTTTAAAGTACTTTGTGACCTACACATAGTTTATCTCATCATGGATCATTTCTTTTAAGGGATTGCATTTATTTATATACAAACTGTCAAAATCAAATAGAATGTATTTTGTTTTGTTTATTTATTTATTTTTTTGTTAATCAGAACTAAAAAATTCAATTGCACAAAATATATATTTTTGTTGGTTAAATGTAAACTATATTGCATTTTGTATTTTCATATCCAGCCAACAGCTGGTTGGTCCATTTTAATGTTTTCCAAGCTATTTTTATTCACTTTCCTTAAAAAAAATGTACATAATCTTAATAGCTCAAGCTGAATTTTACACACAAGTCAATAAGCTGGAGCAGTGAGTTATCTAATCCTCTCCCTTCTTTCCTGCTGTTTTCAGTCACCCCCCTCTGTAGTTTCAGTTATATCTGACAGTCCCGTTTTCTGAGCTAGAGCCCTTCTGAGTCTGAGCTAGAGCTTTTCACTCTGCAGAAAGTGCAAGTTTTAGAGGGCTTACGTTCTGACTCCAGGGGATAGGTTGGACTACTGCTTAAAGACACAGTGCTAAGGTGTGGTAATGGTAGGGGACATATTTTTTTTATAGCTGTGTAATGCTTTACCACTTAAACAAACTCTAGCCACTTAGGTCTTGTTTAGATGGGCTTTAGCTTGGATGATATCAGTGTTTATCAAGCTTTTGTAAAGAATTTGCAATGCATTTGGCAAACTTTGAGCAGCATTGTTGAAGCCCTTGAAAAACTTTTCAGGGTTACTTTGGGAATTCTGAGCACAGATTTTAATGGGAGTGCTTGACTGTCACTTTAACCACTTGCCTTCAGGGCACTTATACCCCCTTCCTGCCCAGGCCAATTTTCAGCTTTCAGTGCTGTCACCCTTTGAATGACAATTGCGCAGTCATGCAACACTGTACCCATATGAAATTTGTATAATTTTTTTTTGAGACAGATAGAGCATTCCTTTGGTGGTATTTAATCATCTCTTTGGTTTGTTTAGCAAAAAAAAAAAAAACCCAAACAACTGAACATTTTGAAAAAAAAAAAGTTTTTTCTTACTTTTTGTTATAAAATGTTGTAAATAAGTAATTTTTCTTCTTCACTGATGTGCGCTAATGAGGCTGCAGTGATGGGCACTGATAGGCTGCACTGATGAGGAGGCACTGGTAGGTGGCACTGATGGGCATTGACAGGCATTACTGATGGGCACTGAAATGCAGCACTCATATATGGCACTGTTAGGTGGCACTGACTGGCACTGTTAGGTGGCACTGACTGGCACTGATAGGCAGCACTGACGGGCACTGATAGGTGGCACTGGCAGCACTGATAGGTGGCACTGCCTGGCATTGTTAGGTGGCACTGACGGGTGACACTGAAAGGCAGCTCAGATGGGCACTGATATGTGGCATTGATGTGCACTGGTAGGCACTGATGTGGCATTGATGTGGCACTGATGGGCACTGGCAGGTGGCATTGATGAGCACTGACAGCTTGCATTGATGGACACTGACAGGTGGCACTGCTGGGGCTACACTGATTATTAGTGCCCTGATGATCAGTGTACATGTCCCCTCTGAGGAATGCCGATTACCGACTCTGCTCTCTTCACGAGCTGTCAGCGTGACAGTTCGTGAGGAGAGAAATGCGGATAATTGGCATTTCCCTATTTACATGCGATCAGCTGTGATTGGACACATCTGATCACATGACCAGGCCAATGTCTTTGGCTCTTTCCGTTGATCAGTGATCCGCTGTGTCTGAGGGACACAGCGCACCACTGATCGCCGTGCTGCGTGCCCCCGGAGCGTTAGAGTGGGAGGAAGTCATATGACGTCCTCCCAGAATGAGAGAACAGCCTTGCGCCTGTCATTTCCTTATATGGTGGGCTGGAGGCGGGCAAACAAAGTTTCATATAGTACTATAGCCTCCTGGAGCCTGCTAGGAGCTTGTTTAACCACTTGCCAACCGCGCTATATCCAAATGACGGCTACAGCATTGTTGTCCAGTTCTGGGAGGGCGTCATATGACGTCTTCCCAGAATGCGCCTTCCCGCCCAATCACAGCTGCCTTTTACCATGTGATCAGCTGTGTCCAATGACACAGAAGATCACCGGTAAATGCAGTTGCTGGTTATCACCTGCACTTTCCTCACTCTGTCACAGCGTGAGGAAAGTACTGCCGATAACCTGCAATTGTCAGAGGATGGATCGGCTCTGATCATCAGGGCACTGATGATCAGTGCCCTGATGATCAGTGCCCAGCAATGCCACCCACCAGTGCTGCCCACCTGTGCCCAGCAGTTTCACCCACAAGTGCCCAGCAGTGTCCCCATCAGTGCTGCCCAGCAGTGCCATCAGTCCGTGCCCAGCAGTACCGGCAGTTAGTGCCACCCATCAGTGCCGCCTATCACTGCCCATCATTGTTGCATATCAGTGCCAGCTCATCCGTGCCACCTCATCAGTACCGCCTATCAGTGCCATCAGTGCTGCCTATCAGTGCAGCCTCATCAATGCACAGCAGTGAAGGAGAAAAATTACTTGTTTATAAAATTTTATAATAGAAACAAAGAAAACATTTTTTTTTTTCAAATTATTTGCTTTTTTTGTTTTTAGCTCAAAAAATAAAATGCACAGCAGCTATTAAATACCACCAAAAGAAAGATCTATTTGTGTGAAAAAAAATATACAAATTTCATATGGGTACAGTGTTGCATGACCGCACAATTGTCATTCAAAGTGTGAAAATTGGCCTGGGCAGGAAGGAGGTATAAGTGCCCGGTAGGCAAGTGGTTAAAGAGACAGCCAAGCATGTGTTTATTATTCCAAAACTGGAGGTAAATGCTATGCCCTAGGCCTCCATGTAGCTTGCCAAAAGCTCAGCAAATGCTTTGTAAAAGCTTACTGTAAACATTGCCTATATACAAGCTGAAGCCTGTGTGAACAATGCTTGCTTTTATACAGCACAAAGAAGCTATTGTCGCAGTTTTCATCTACATTTACACAGGAGATTAGTACACCTTGTGAATTCCAGTGGCAAGATTCTGCAGATTCTCATGACTGCAATGACAGGTCGATGGCTGCTGCAGCTATTCCTGAGTGTCCAACTACAGTCACCACAGGTAGTTACATTCTATGATAACAGTCATGATTAGCTTCGGCTGCCATCAGCCTGTCATTGCATTGTATGGACTGAGCTGACTCTGCACACGCCTGTCACTCCAGCCACAGGAATCCAGATTCTTCTGGAATTTGCAGGGTGTGCTAATGGCCCATGTGAATATATTCCTATACTTCATAGGTTTGCTTTTATAGTGAAGCATTACACAGAACTAATGTGTCATTTTTGTGTGACAGTAATATCTCATTAAACTTCAACTGCACTTGCATAAACATTTTACATTAGTTAATGTCCCCTTGGTCCATGATGAAAAAAGGCCAGTGTGATAGGTTACCTTTGCTGAAGATAAATCCTGTTCCCAGAAACATGGCTGATCTTGTGTTTTAATCCATCTTTGCTGTTAATTGGCCAAAAGAAGAAGGTGGTGTCTGGAGGTGGAAAACCTCTCAGGAGCAGATTTTACCTTATCAAAGCAAGATATATATGCAAGCAATATGTTTGGACTTCGGAAATATTAACTTCAGCAAATGTTAAATGTAAATTTAAAAATGACAAAGGTAACGGTTTAGTGAAAGCGCGATTTTCATTACAAAAAGCACTGACTCTCAGCCAATGGGTAATTGCTTTCTATTGTTACGTTGTGTTTTTTCTAAATTTTGTAGGTTTACAGAAGTGTCCTAATAAAAGCAAGGAGAAGACGGCAATCTGGTGGTAGTGACCATTCACCTCCAGAGAACAACAGAGAACTTGGTAAAAAAAAATTCTCATGTGCAAGTTAACCACTTGCCCTCCAAAGGATTTACCCCCCTTCCTGACCAGGCCATTTTTTGCGATACGGCACTGTGTTAAATTAACTGACAATTGCGCGGTCATGCAACACTGCACCCAAATTAAGTTTATGTCCTTTTTTTCTCACAAATAGAGCTTTCTTTTGGTGGTGTTGGATCGCCTGTGCGTTTGTCTTTTTTTGTTTATAGCACAAAAAATAAACAATTTTGAGAACAAAGCAATATTTTTTACTTTTTGCTAATAAACCTTTCCAGGAAAAACATTTAAAAAATCGAATTTCGTCTTAAATTTAGGGCAAAATATATTCTGCGACATGTCTTTGCTAAAAAAAATCCCAATATGTGTAAATTAATTGGTTTACGTGAAAGTTATAGTGTTTACAAATGGCGGTATATATATTGTATTTTTTTTTTATACTAGTAATGGTGGCAATCAGCAACTTATAGTGGGACTGTGGCGGGTGTTTTGACACTAGGGGGGGAACTGACTGCCACTGACATCTCCACTGACACTAATACAGTGATCAGTGCTAATAAAAAGCACTGACACTGTACTAATGACACTGGGCAGGAAGGGGTTAACATCTGGGGTGATCAAAGGGTTAACTGTGTGCTGTTTTACTGTGTTGTCTGTGTGTGCTTTACTGTGTACTATGCAGAGCAATACAAAGCAGCGTGCTGGAGCTGACAGGGAAGAGATCTGTATTGTTTACATACAGACCTCTCCTCTTGTCACTGTTCCTCGATGATCACCGGGTGCCACGGGACTCAGTGATCGACAGCTGAGTCCGTCAATGGCGGCGTGGGTAGGGCTATAGGGCAGTTAATGCCCAAATCACCTTTTCAATCTTTCTTTACACGTTTTCCTAATATAGTGGCAACATAGAGTTTGTGTCCCCCTGTAATTTCCCCAAATGTGGGAAACAAATCTCTTCTATGCTGGCTAATGTGGGACTGTGTTTGTGCTTTCTGTTAAAGTAGAACTGTAGGCAAAACTTTTCTTTTCATTTTGAATAGAGTAAAGTAAGGTCAGGTATTTTTTGGGGGTGGGTTTTGTCATCTTGGGGTCCCATTGAGAAGATTTGTTACCTTCATTTCCTGTCCCGTAGCCAAAACAGAAAGTGAGAGGAAATCCCTGCAAATTAATGGAATCCCTTGGGGACCTCCAGGTCACCAGAACTAGTGTCGCCATTAGAATATTTCCCCTCTATTAATTTTCTGGGGACAACCCAAATTGGGATTTTCTTTTACGTTCACTTCCAATGACAATAGTAAATGGGACAAATAGAGAGGGTGAATATTCCTAACGAGGGCACAGGCAACAATAAAAACTAACAGGTGTTCTAATCCCTCTCCACTGTATCCAAAATTAAAAGTTTTGCCTTTGGTTATACTTTAATCACCTCAATACTGGGCACTTTCACCGCGCTTCCTGCCCAGGCCAATTTTCAGCTTTCAGGACTGTTGCAATTTGAAATGCAACATTGACTGAATGCAGCACTGTACACATATTAAATTGTTAGCATTTTTTTTGAGACAGATATAGCTTTCTTTTGGTGGTATTTAATCACCACTTTCACTTTTTTTGTGCTATAAACAGAAGAAGACCACAATTTTTTTTAAAAAACAGTGTTTTTTTTCTTAGTTTCTGTTATAAAATTTTGCAAAAAAAAAAATGTTCTTCATAGATTTTATTCAATTTAATTTATTATTAGTTTATACTGCTACATTTCTTTGGTAAAAATAACCCAAATCAGTGTATAGTATTTGGTCTGTGAGAATGTTATAGAGTGTACAAGCTATGGCACCAATCATTGAAAATTGATCATACCTGATCACACCTGATGTTGTGACAGCCTATCTCACTTCTTGGGGCCCTAACATGCCAGGCCAGTACAAATACCTCCCAAATGACCCATTTTTGAAAAGTAGACAGTCTACAGTATTTAGTAAGAGGCATGGCGAGTTTTTGGAAGTTGTAATTTTTTTCCACAATTCTTTGGAAAATGAAGAACTTAAAAACAATTTGTTTTTTCTCAAACATGGCATAGGCATACTTGAAACTACACCCCAAAACACATTCTGCTACTCATCCTGAGTATGGCGATACCATGTGTGAGACTTTTTCATAGCCTAGCCATGTAGAGAGACCCAACGTTCAAGGAGAACCTTCAGGCATTATCCACTTTAAGACCATGCTGCCTTCTAACACTTTGTGTTTACAAGTAAAAATCAGTATTTGTGCTAGAACTTTGAACCCCCAAACATTACATATTTTTTGGTAGAGGCCCTAGAGAATAAAATGGTGGGTTTTGCAAATTTTTTATTTTGCATGGTATTTGCGCAGTGGATTTTCGATTTTACTCAATTTTACACACTAATGCAAAAAATACACTTTAATATATTTTAATTCACACAGACACAATATAATGCCCAATTTTTTGTAAAATATAAAATATGGTGTTGCACCATATTTTAAATAGATAGAGTAAATAGATACCAAACATGCCAATGTTTAAAATTGTGCACACTTGTGGAATGGCACCAAACTAATTAAAAATCTCCATATACAACGTTTTATAGCCTTTTACATGTTACCAGTTTAGAGCTACAGAGGAGGTCTGGTGCTATGATTATTGCTCTCACTCTGACGTTCACAGCAATACCTCACATGTGTGGTGAGTTCGCTGTTTACATATGCGTATGGGATCAACGTGTGCATTCGCCTTTGCATGTGAACACAGGGGCGCTTTCAATATTTTTATTTATTTATTGGTGGGACACTGGTACACTGACAGATGTTGATGTTGCAGTGGAACACTATTGCAGATGTTTTGTGCACCAGTTCACTGTGACAGATGTTGATGTGACACTAGTACACTGTGACAGATGTTTTATGCACTGGTGCAGATGCGACACTGGCAACGATGTTGGGCAGGGACAGATGTTGCTTCATGTACTGTGTGTGGATGGCAGCAATCTGTGTTCTTTGTATAGCTAAACACTAAAATCATCAGCTATGTAGAGAGCTGTCACAGGCTAGTAGCATCCCCTTCTTATCCCCCGCACTCAGCTTTCACTGAGCTCAGCAGGAAAAGCCGACAGAGAGACACATGTCTCTGTTTACACAGGATGATGGCTGTGAATGGACACGGTCATCACGTGATCGGGAGGGCCAATCACAGCGCCCATATCCCGATCTGTGATGTGCTGTGCCCGAGGGACACAGCCATCACAGGATCACGCCACTGCGCAGCCTTCATTCTTAGAGGACGTTCAGGGACATTCTCTCAGAACGGGAAAGCCCCCACCCGGCTGTTTATGTGCAGTTGCCAGGTGGGAAGCCGTTAAAGAGACCCTGTCACCAACTTTAAAAAATTGCCAGTAAAACATAGAAGAATCCAGCATTTAAATGCTTACTTGCAATATTTTTTTTCTTTACATAAACAATGTTTTATTTACTTTCAATGTACCTTTGAACTTGATAAGGAATTTAACTAGTTCCCTAGCAGCTTCTGCTCCCTCCTGCCATGGCATTGTCCTTTTATCTTCTTGGAGTGTCTAATGCTGGCTGTGCTGGTCCTGATCCTCTGCCGCTACACTTACCTTCCTACATAGCATTTTATGTAGTTGTTATGGAAGGAGGGAATGAGAATTCTATATATCCCTGGTGCCCATATGCGGCCCTTTGATATATGATGTGTGGCCCTCGGACCTCAGCAGTTTGTAGAGGGAACATTTGATTAGGGTAAAAGCATTGATTTCTACTAGCCTTGTGTTATGTGTTCCCAGTTTTATATTGTCTTCAGCAGCATGTCCCCAGCCAAAAAGGTAGCATGTCCACACCATCTGACCCTCATTTCCTCTATTAAGTCTGTATTTTTTGACACTTCTATCAAGCATTGCATATATTGAATGTTATGTGCAGCCCTATGGTGATGTCAGGGGCCACATTGAGTCCCCTTTAGATCATAAGTTGACAACCACTACTATAGAGTGACGCTCAGAATCTGCTGGGGCAGCTGACTTTACATCCAAGATAGGGGTGCCCAGCAGCAGTCTCAGGCCTTTTAGATGTCTACACAAGGGACATTTTAACAGGTAAATAACATGCTGTTTTCAGATGTCCCCAGGAGGTTCCATGTAGCACTCTATAAACAATAGTAAAAGAGTGTTAGTTATTTTTTTACTGCTTTGTTATTATTCTGCAATTACTGTTGTTCCTTCTGGGTTTCTTTCTCCTTTAGATTAAGAAACCAATGCCCAGAGGGAGGTTATATCCCATGGAGGGGAGTGTCCAGCCTCCTATGGGCAGAGCTTGTACCCACAATTTCCTGAGACCCCCAAGAAAAGAAAATTACATTGATTACAAAAAACCCTATTTGTGATGTTGTGAGTGCTATGAACCTAGGAGTTTCAAGGGTTTTTTTTCCTGTGATTTTAGTATTTTAATATTGCGTTTAATTAAATAATTTAGGTTACTGTATTGCCATCTTAAAAAAATAAAAAAAAATGGATATGTTTGGATTCCCTGTGTATCTAACTGTTTCTCAGCTTGTCAAGTCTAGTGAGTAGGTCTGAACAAGGAAATAATTCTTTGTTTCCATAAATGCTAACCCTAGGGGAATGAGAATGGAGGTCTTTCTTATTTTTTCCTTAAATTTTACAAGGATAAGCATACATATTTATCAAAAGGTCTTTAAAGGAAAATAACCTTCAGCAGTGAGATCTTTTCCTAGGTTTTTCCTGAAACTATTCCTACCTCTGGGTACCTCTGATGTTCTATATTGCATTCTGTGTAATGACGTTCAGATTAAGCAGTGAGTTGCCTTAAACTGGCCATACAGTGTTCATTTTTTATCATTCAGCCAGTGAGCTGAACTAAAAAGAGAACTAACAGATTTCTCCATCTGTTGGTCTCCCTCCTGCCAGAGCATTGTATTCTAACAGCTGCACCTGCTGCTGTTTGAGAAATATTTTGCAGCATGTACCTCCAACAGAAGTCAATCAAACAACTGATTTCTATTGAGTGGAGAAGGCCACACACTGATCAAAATTTGGCCGGTCCCTGCTAAACCAGAACAATTTCAATCAGTGTAGAGCCAGCTTTAGAAATACATATGCAAACAGCAGTCTTATTGTGTCTAATTGTGTTTTTGTTGTGCCAAATTCTTTGCAGGGAGCAGAGAGCCGAGTCCAGTAATGCGATCCAGTAGCACTTTACCTGTGCCCCAGCCGAGCAGTGCCCCACCAACACCCACACGACTAACTGGAGCCAACAGTGACATGGAAGAGGAGGAGAGAGGAGACCTCGTTCAGTTTTACAACAACATTTACATTGAAAAAATGAAAAACTTTGCAATGAAATACACACAGCCAAATGCGGTAAATGTGCTTTGTCTTCCAGAATGTGTTTTGTTTTGTGCATGCTATATAAAACCAGGCATCTTTAAAGTGGAACCCAAGGCACAGACATCTGCATAAATAAAAGAAAAAATGTACCTTCGGTCAGGTGTGTGAAATGTGCAGATCATTTCTGTTAATTCCCACTGAATGGGTTTTTGAGTAATAATGTCTTATACACATCCATGTCTGCTCTTTCTCTGTCATTGAAAAATAGAAAAAAGACAAGCCCCTCTTATTTATTACCTCTTGTTCACAGAATGAATCGACACCTATTTCTCCCTATCCATCCATGCGGATCCTGTCCCCGCGGCGTGTGCAACTGTCTCACAGTTCCCTGATCTACATTTCTCCTCACAGTGAAGAAAGCACCAGCTCATCACCTCGAGAAAAGATCTGCTACTACTTCAACTTAAGTCCAGCTAAGGTGAGCAGGAGATGCATAAACATTTAGGTTTACAGATTTTTGAGCTGAGCCAAATATTATTATACAGGATTTATACAGTGCCAGCAGTTTACGCAGTGCTTTACAACATAAATACAGAGGTTAGTAAGTGGGGAAATATAATACAAGCAACCTGGCATGACAGCCAAGCAATTAACATTTTCACGAAGAAAGGCCAGCTAAGGCACTTGTTTTTTCAGCATGGGTTTCCATTAATTTCCTGTTTTGACTGGACTGTTTGTTTTAATTATTCATTCACACTGTGCAGGGAACAAGAGCCTTTCTTCTCCTTCATTCAGGAATTCAGAGACTGTTGGGTTATACTACCACCTGCAGCAAGATTAGGACACTGGTAAACCAAAAAATGTTGCCAGCCCAGTATAACCCCTCCTGTTCCCAGTACGCCTGCACTGCTGAGAAAGGTCTAACCTTTTTGCTAGCTATTTTTTAATGTAATCAAGATTGTCTTTTTCTTCATTCAAGATTCTTCAACAAGCTAGTCTCTATACAGAGCTATACAGATCAGCATTTGCTCAGCTGTAGCTGTGTAGGCTGTACCTGAACCCTGCTGGACCATTGCAGGGCTAACTTGGAATGTGATTCTCAGGCACTGGGCTCTGCATTGTGGCACTTTCCAGACCAAGTGTACTGTGTTAGTGAGCCGCAGAGTGCTTTCTGGGTCAAAAACTGTGGAACAGCCTCAGGAATGACTCTGTCTTTGAAGACTCACTTTGTGATTAGACCAAGTAAGCTATCTTTTTACTAGGGCCATTGGGTGCCATTTGAAATTCCACTTCCTGTTGGTTTACCAGGAGCGGTTCCAGTGCTGACTGAAGGGCCTGACACTGACCACCTAGAATTTTACCCTGTGTTCAAGTGTATGCCATCTTCAGAGTGTTCCGTAGCTCCATCAGGCGTGGCCTCCTCCTCGGCTCTAACCCGAGAGGCTCCAGGTGTGTCTTCGGAGCTGCCTTGGACACCCTTGTCAAGGATGTCACTGGGGTTAAAGTGGTTCTAAAGGCTGAAGGTGATTTATCTTCATTCATTCTATGCTTCCCCATCAGCCTCCCCCTTATACTCACCTGAGAACGATCTTGATCCAGTAATGTGCAGGAGAGCAGAAGCTCTCCCAGGTCTCTGCCTCCTCATTGGCTTAGACACAGCAGCAGGAACCATTGACTATTGGCTTACCCATGTGCCTCATCAGAGGCCAAGAAGATCAACTTCAAGCCTCAATCTCAAAAGCCATATCCTACAAAAGACTGTGGACTTTCAAGTCCCCCAAACCATCAGGCTCATTTTCTTCAGCATGAGAGGACACACCCATTTTACAAAGTGCAAGGAAGTCTGTTAGCTTTTGTGGACCTTTGGACAGCCAGCATCTCAAATGCTTGGATGCAGGAGGTGGTTTCCAGGGGTTACAAGCTAGAATTGCACTCTCAGCACCCTCTTCAATTCATGTCTTTCAACCTACCTCTCTCACTCCACAGATTAGCAGATCTCTATGAAGACATTGCGGGTCTTCTGGAGCAGGGGATCATTGCCTCAGTACCGGTAGCAGAATGGTTCCTGGGTCCACTCCAACCTATTCAGTTCCAAAAACAAAAAGGAGTATCCTCCACATTTTGAATCGCAAAGCTCTAAATATTTAGGCCCAGAAATTCTGCATGGAATCAATGAGGTCTGTCTTAGCCTCTCTTCATCAGGGAGACTTTCTAGCCTTTGTGTGGACATTAAGGATGCGTACTTGCATGTCTGTGCATTTTTAGTGTATCAGCAATTCTTTTGTTTTGCTGTGGGTCCCCAGCACTTCCATTTGACCTATCTTCTGCACCTCCAGTGTTCACCAACTTGCTGGCCCCTGTGCTCGCCTTGCTTCATTCCCAGGACATCCCCATTGTGGGATATCTGGACAACCTCCTATTGATGGAGCAGTTGATGCAGGTTCAGACCAACAACGTAGCTCAGACCATTACAAACCTTGAAGTCAGTGCTGAAACTAAATAATCACTTGGAATATATACAGCTCAAGCCAGTGTTTTCCTTCCCCAGGAGAAAATGTAAACTCTGTCCCAGACCTGGACTGTTCAATCCTGGGGCACCCAACTCTTCTGGGTCTGATAGAAGCTTTTTTCTGGCAGTCCCATTTCCTTGATAAAGATTGGTATTTCTGATCGAAACGCGTCGGATTGAGGCTGAAGGTGATGTCAGTTAGGTAAGGTAGTTCTTGTTTCAATCTTTCTGTAAGTGACACTGTCAGACACTTTATCTGCAGCATGGGATCCTGGCTGACACCGTTGCTCTCTCTCTCTCCCCTGTGCTTTAATTTTATTGAATCAGCATCTACATTTTCTTGTCTAGATGCTACTGCTCTGGGATGTATCACACTGGGAGCAGTTGAGATTGTCCTGACAGGTACACTTGAGGCACTTTGTGCTAACTAGTGTTTTGTTTGGATTAATTGAACTAGCTGTTACATCTGTTTGCCCCAGCACTGATAAATACAATCTTTCCTTTGAAATGATTAGTATATCTGTCACAGCTTTATTTATATTTAAAGGGTCTTGTGATTCTGTTGCTGATGTTGCTGAACCTTTACAAATGTAACTTATTATTGATTTGACTTTTTTTATTATCTCACTCCTGATGATTTTGTTTGGAGTTAATTTATTCACCCAGCAGTTATTCTATTCCTTTTGAATAGTCAGTGCAAGTATGACCTAAAGTTTCTTTCACTTTACTATCCAGCTTCAATATCTCTACCTTTAATGGCATGGATGATAAAGCCCAGGTTCTGAGGGACAGAGGCATCTCTGAATTGGTGATCCCCATTAACCTAAAGGTTAGGAAGTCTATTTCTCAGAAGGTGTTCCATCTCACATGGAAGGCATACCTTTCTTGGTGCAAGGCAAGAAGCTTTCATCCCTGGAAATTCTCCAGTGAACAAATCCTAGTCTTTATGCAGATGGACCTGGATTAGCATTTGATCCTGAATACCATCAGCAGTCAGATCTCAGTGCTTGCAATCTTTTTTGAAGGCCATTAGCTTGCCATTCTTTGAATAAGACTTTTGTACAGAGTGCTCCCCCTATGACTCTGTGGAATCTGAATTTTGTTCTCTCAGCACTTCAGAATTTACTGTTTGAATCAACCAGGGATATTCCCCTTGCCACTCTGATGCATGTTGTTGTGTTTCTGGTTGCTACCACCTCTGCAAGGAGTGTGCCCGAGCTAGTGGTCTTGGTCTTGCACAAGGACAAGGTTGTGTCGAGGCCCAGAGCTTCCTTCCCAAGGTAGTTCTGGCCTTTCACCTCAACCAGGACATAGTGCTTCAGTTACTCTGTCTGGCTTCTGTTCATTGAAAGGATATCCCCCTCTCCCTAATACAGCCTCCACATCTTACAATCAGTAAGCTGCAATGTAAGTTTATACCTCTTTCAGGATTTGGTTTCAGCCTTCCCTATTACTAGATCTTTGAATGCTTCTTGGTCTTTTCTACTTTAAGCAACTGATTTCTAGCTTTGCAAGGCTGGATACATATTTTACCAGGTGTATGTTGAGCTGATACCAGGTTTGTGTGTAAGGTTCTTCTAGTGGGCCAACGAGATGCAGCAGCCCTGGTTCTGTTTTTTGCGGGTATGTATGTGTTTTGTGGCGCTATCCCACCCCAGTTGTACTGCTTTTGAATGTTACATACCTATTGTTCCTGTTGAATTCCTGTGTCGCTCAATGAACAAGAAAGAAAGCAGAATGTTTGTACTCACCTTATAATCCATTTCTTAGACTTCATTGGGGGACACAGGTCGCACCCCTCTGTGTCTATGGTCATGCTGTTGGTACTGCTTTTGCACAAAACTGAGACATGCAAGGAGTGGGGGGGGGGGAGGTTACAGGGCTACAGAGCTGGCAACCATTTTTTTTGTTTGTTTGCCAGGGTCCAAATACTGCTTAAGAATTCACAGGTGAACATGAGTGAGATTGGGAATTATGCAAGGAGCTGTTGCAGTATCTAAAACTTATAATAAGCTAGGGACCTACTGAGGCCGGCCACCACACTCCGCTAAAATATCACATTTTATGTGCACTGAACCTTTAATTACTAGAGCCTCTATTACATACATTGTTATTATTGCCTGGATTACAGCCATAATGGCATCTGGGTATTGAACAGCACTGTGTAGTGCCAGAGTGTGTGATACATCTTTTCCAGTGTCAAATACTTTGGTTCTGCTGATTGCTTGAGGGACTCAATGAAACAGGAGCTATGAAGTTTGAAGGCCTCTGTGATGTATATGAATTGAAAGGATTGTTGAGTTATTCTCTAGAACTGTGCAGATGTTGCTATTTCTAAATGGGATTGTACATAGTTTGTAATGTGTGTGGCTATCTTTATTACTGACTTTGCTAAGGTTATTTTTTCCATATTCATCCACAGAGATTGCAGGAGATTAACAGTATGATCAGAACTGGAGAGACCCCCACTAAAAAACGGGGCATTCTGCTGGAAGACGGGAGTGAATCACCAGCCAAGCGGATGTGCCCAGAAAACCATAGTGCCCTTTATAGGAGACTACAAGATGTGGCCAATGACCGAGGAAATTTCTGATCCAGTCAGAGTCTTGGACTGTCGGAATGCAGTATTTTATATAAATTATTTTTTAATATTATGTAACATAAGACATCGGGACTGTGAGTATCAAACAGACTTTCCTGGATTATTGAATTGATCTGTTTGTAAGTAGTGGGATTATGCATTGACATGGAGAAGGAACATGTACTAAAAGCGTGTTTGAAGCACTTAGGTAGTAAGCTGCCAATAGGTTGTACCAAATAGTTACATTAAAAGTCCCAGCTCTAAGTTGTATGGGATAAATTTTGAATTGAAAAGGATTAAGGAAAAGTGTAAGGAAATTAAATCTGCCAGAGCAAACTTCTAATGGTATCTAGTACATAGTGTACATATTGACCTGTGCTTTTGACAAGTTCAAATCCAGGCTTATGAAGGAGATAAGGTCACAGAATTATAGGGACTTGCTTAGAGTGATGTTGAAGATCAGTGTCATGATGAATAGTATGGTCAAGCAGCAGGCACCGTAGGCATCCCTGAGTTCAGATTAATACAACATTTACATGTTTGAAGTATTTACTGAAAAAATACAGAGGCCCTTCTTTGGAAAATGCTATTGCCAATTGACTGCTCTGCTGATTAAAAGACTTTATTACTTGGAGGCATAACGAACGTGTAAATCAGGAGTGTTGGCATTCCCCTGACTTCACAGGGATGTGCTTATTCCAGGTCATTGAATGAGAAGAGCCCAGAGGCAGCCAAGCAACTAGACTTCCATTAGGTCAGCATTGATAGCCAATGAGTATTTTCAGTACAAGATTTTCTTTAAAGCTGATCTTCAGGTACACTTATTTTCAGTTTAATGCATGCTTTATCAAAAACAATAGAAATCCACTTTGTATGCAACTAATGCATATGTGGAGCCATTTATTATCTTTTAAAAGTAGAAATGATGTCATCCTCAGGACTCTGGGAGTGCTACTTCTGTGGCCTCACATGCTTTCCCAGTGATGTGTAAGAAATTCCATTTATCATGACTTCCACCACTGAATTCATTGGGGAGGGGGGGGGTGGGGGTTTGATCTGCAATTTTTTGGTTGGTACTCTGCAGGTATTGGGTCATTTTTACTGATTTTCATATACGGCCTATCAGCTAATGGGCATGTGTGAGTGACTGAGAAAAAGTGCAGGAGCTCTTTCAGGGTGGATTACTAACATCTAATTTCAATACCCAAAGGACTGAAGTTAGGAAACACACACCTCTTCCATTTACACTAGATTTTTGTAGCCAGAGTTCAACTTTAAATTAAAATTCTGTGAAGATATTTAAGATATATATATATATATATATATATATATATATATATATATATATATATATATATAAAATTCTTTCTAAGATAAGATAGATGGTCTGTATCCATATCAGATCTTACCCTAATTTACAGTAATCAAAAACTTTCTAAAAGTCTGTAGATTGGTAGACTTATTGAAATTAAATATTTGCACCAGTTTCCACTAATTCCATGTGTACTTAGGAAGATCAAATATAAAAATCATAACATATTACAAAGCAAGTTAAAAGTTTTCTATTGTTTCTTCAGTATTGATATGAAGCCCTGATGTTTAGTAAGAATTTGCAGTAGGAGGAGGGTCAGCCTTTGACTTTTGAGTTAAAATTTGAACTCTGAAATTTAGAACACCCCTGGTGAAAATAACAAAAGATGACACGTTAACTTTGAGATACACCTCTAATTAATACATATTTTGTAGTAAGGAGTGGTGTATATCAAGGTTATCTTGTCATGTGAGAAACAAGTAGGGTGCCATTCTGGGACTTTCCTGAAAGTGCATATGGAGACTTTTTTGACTTTTCATGGATTTTCTTTTGGCTCATTGTATTGAAGCAGGTAGGTTAGCAGTAGAGCTAGGCAACAACTCTCATTAGAATGAGGTCAGTAAGGGCCTCCTAATTCCTAACATGACAGTGTTACTTTAAGAGTGATGACAGACAACGCCTTGTTCAAAACGTGTGTTAAATACTAGTAAATAGCTTCAAAAGCAAGGAACTAGTGGACTCCCTGGTCTTGTCAAAGTGCGTTATGGGCTTCAGTTCTGCACTCCTTGTGAGCAGACCATTGGGAGACCAATCCCAGCTTTCTCACTAGGTGAGGGAAGATGTAATAGTAAGATATTTGAAAAGTTTTTCTAAACCATAATTTGTTAGCATTCATGTGTGAATGGATATTAGCACATTTAACTGCTTCCCGTCCGCCCTATAGCAGAAGTACTGCTGCAGGGCTGCGCAAAATCACATATATGTTATTTTGTAGTTCCGGGTATTGGGTGCACGCACTCCGCCATCATTGGCAGCTTCAGCTGTCCATCACTGGGTCCTGGCTGGAGATTCCCCACTGGCACGTGGCAATTGCCGAGGAACAGTGACAGAGGAGAGGTCTGTATGTTAACAATACAGATCTCTCCCCTGTCAGTACCAGCACGCTGCTTTGTATTGCTCTGCATAGTGGGCTTACACAGTAAAGCACACACAGACAATACAGTAAAACAGCACACAGTTAACCCTTTGATCGCCCCAGATGTTAACCCTTTCCTGCCCAGTGTAATCAGTACAGTGTCAGTGGGGATGTCAGCGGCAGTTAGTCAGTTCCACCCCCCCAGTGTCAGAATGCCCGCAGTTAGTCCCACTATAAGTCGCTGATCGCCACAATTACTAGTATTAAAAAAAAAAAAAAATTATATTATATATATATATATATATATATATATATATATATATATATATATATATATATATATATATATATATATATATACCGCCATTTGTAGACACTATAACTTTCATGTAAACCAATTAATTTAATTTGTTTTTTTAGCAAAGGCATGTAATAGAATACATTTTGGCCTAAATTTATGACACATTTTGTTTTTTTTTTGTTTTTTTTTTCACTGGATGTTTCATAGCAAAAAGTCAAATATTGTTTTTTTTTTTTTTCAAAATTATCGGTCTTTTTTTTTTTAGTGCAAAAAATAAAAAAAACGCATAGGCAATCAAATACCTCCGAAAGAAAGCTCCATTTGTGGGGGGGGGAAAGACAGACAGCCCTCCCCTTTACTCCAGTGATGTAATGTTCCTCAGTGTCCTCACATCCAAAGCAGGGCTGTGGTCCCTGTATCCATTTTGCTGGCATCAGAGGCCTTTAGACCACCAGAGCCTAGGGAAGAAGAGACTGCAAGGATTGGTCTAGCAGCCCAGTGTTGGAGTGGGGGGGATCTGGTAGGTAAAACTGCTTTACTTAAGTTGGGTATACACTAGTAGAATTTCGAACGAAAATTCTTAGGAACATTTGTGTGAAAATTCTAATGCTGTTCAAAAGTAGTCCAATATTTTTTGCTTACTTTTAATTTTCAATTTTAGAATGAACTGAACTTTACCAAATGAAAACCACATTGAAGAAGATTTTTTGCCCCGCTCCTTCAAATTTTCTTGTCACTGTGGTCAAAAACAAAGGTTGATTTTACCCCACTGATGATTATAGCATACTCCCTACCTGCAGCTTTTGGTTAGCCTTGAAAACTGATCTTTTCTTTTGGTCTACTGGGGAAAGGAATATTGCACCATATTATTGTGGAGGCCCAGGACAGACAAGCCCTGATCCTATGAGATTTGTTTTGTACTGAGACAGGATGCTTGTGTGTACTTGACTGCAGACATAAAAAAAGACACATGTAGACAGGTGTTCTTGTCAAATATAACCTTTTACATTCAAATGCAGTGTTGCTGAAATGCATGCATTCAATTGAAAAATGCAGCATATGTCAAGAAAAAGTTGTGTTTGATCTGCTGCAGTTCAAATGCTTTTTGTGTCTAAAGACATGCTACACAAAGAGGGGCTGACCTAGCCTTTGAGCTGTCATCCATAGAGTCCATTGAAATCAGTAAAAATATGATGACCTTCGTTTGGGGTGTGCTTCAAACACACATCAAATGCAGGAAAACACCACCTACTTAAGCTTTAAGTCTCCTATTACCCTAGCCTTTAGTATAGTGTTGTATAAATAGCCTAGGGACAAGCTTGGACACCTAGCTGGTGGAACACTCTATAACAGGTAGATTTACTTTAATGTATCAGTGTCCAGGTACAAGATTTGTTTTTCATAATTGCATGGATTTATGTAACTTTTAAATACATACTGTAGATGTGAATTCATATGGAGCATATTATAAATGGGTCCTGACTAAAGAAAGAGAAAAATAAAGACAAAGGTTTTAAATGTGGCAACTCCCCATCCTCTTACAATTTTGACTATATAAAAATGATTGTAACTGCAAGGTGCTAATTTCGTTTTTAAAAATTATTTTAGAAAATATTTTAAAATAATTTTACCAAAATAAAAAAGCTACTAATTATTGGAAAACCTGGTAGAATTGACAGAGCAATGTGATTTTTAAATTGTGCAATTAAAAGGCATTTTAAAAAAGAAAGTTAACTCTTTTAACATATAAAAGATTTTTAATTTATTTTCCAGTTACTGTTTACTGGGTCTTCTGTTAAATAGTTGAACTGCATTTTCCATGTTTTTATCTTAAAGGACACCTGTCATGAGAGAAATATGTAGGCTGGCATTACTGATCATCTGAAACTGCTAGATGTATGGCTGTAATCCTGGCTATTTGGCTTCAGTGTTTTTTGAGTCACTGACCCAGAACAAATATGAAGAGTTGGAGCTTTGACATCACTGGCTTGGCTGCATAACCATTCCCAGATTATCTGTTCCTGTTCTAAAAACCTTAAAGCCTAAGTGTCAGTTCGACAACAAAGTAATTATCATTTTCAAAATGACAGCTTGATACATTAGTTCTGGGTGCTGAGACCTTGGTGTTGCTGGTTTTCATCATGGGGCTCTTAGCAGCAACCAAACCAGCAAATCCTAAAGCTCCCCGAAGTGGCACTAAGTCCACAAGTATATGCTAGTCTAAGGCGCTTCCTAAAACTTAACTCTCCTCTACCTGAACCCTT